CCCCAAAACCCCAAAACCCCAAAACCCCGTAGGTTAATTTTCATGTTGAAAGATTATGAACAATACCAAATCTAACTTTACTCTTTTAGCTATATCTGAAACTTTCTTTAACCTTAACCTTCTTCATTCCTCATTTGTCCAGGGTGTGTTTGAGCTCCAATTTTGTTAGGTTTTCATTTCTTTCGAACTTGATCACTTTAAGGCTTTTCTTCATATCTGTGCTTGAAATCCCTTCAAGAAGGTACATTAAGGCAACATAGGATTTACAGCAAGAAAGCAAGAACGAACATGAGAGTAGGCTGAATCTAGTGATCTTTGTGTCTTTGAGACAAGTGGAGAGTTCTGGGATTTCTGGAACTGAGACAGTGCAATCTTTAAGAACTAGATAACTAACATGAGCACATGATTTCAAAATGTGCTTAAGTTGAGACCTAGATATTTTTAATTTATCGAGCATAACTTCTTTGCGAATTCTTGATGAAATCTTGATTATATTTCTAAAGCAATAATTTGGATAAATTAAATCCTCTGTTGAAAAATAGAGGCTGCCATATATGCTTGCAAATGACTCGCTCAAGAAACTTTCATATCCTTTCCTCCCTTTTGACACAAATTTAATTTTAGCGACTTTGATTGCAGGCAAAGGGAGTGACTTAATCTTCTCGATAAACTTTTTTGTACTATTCATGTTAGACATAATAGATAGCATATCTTCTGAGGTGAAGCTATTTTTTTCAGCCTGAAATGTTATAAACAGCATTTGACCATAAATGTTGATAGGTTTTTGAAAGGGCCTCCTGATCTTTCTTCTCTATGCTTCTTGAAAGTCATTTTGATAATAATTTGTGCATATTTTTCCTATCCTTTGGGAGCCAATTTGATTTCTTAAAATAAGAAGTATCTGCCGTATCTTTTGAGTAAGGATGATGTTTTTTATTCCAGAGATTCTCGAGTGATTTCATAGTTTGGGTCCATTCTTTTTGCTCTTCTTTAGGTAGGAGGCATATATACTTCTCTTGGAGATCTGAAGTATTTACGGCAAGTTTCTTAGCTAGGCTATAAAGATTGCTAGCCTCTTCCTTTTGGTAATTCCAAACAGTCTTTTTAATCTTGTAAACCAACCCAAATAATATATAATTGATCTGCCAAATACGGATGAGGGGTGCTTTTGTTGGAAGAGAAGAGTAGAGCTTAAGAATCTTGGTATAGTACTCAAAAGAATTGACCATCTTTTTATATTTCTCTAATTTCTTTCCAGATCTGTCTAAAGTATGCGAATCTCCATGCTGATTAGGCTCACAACCATCATTCCTCCCAGCAAGTTCTCTCTCTTCATAATGCTTGTGGCCCATTTTTCAGGTCACATCTAAACCACTACTTGACTCCATTTATCACCAATCTTCTAATTTTCAATTTAATTGCCCTGCTAAGGGGTTTTGGGGTTTTGGGGTTTTGGGG